TGCCGGCCGGGAGCTGGACGCCGGGAGGTAAGACCCGCTGGGGGCCTGGCCGCCAAACTTGCCTTTTGTGCTTCATTTCCCTTGTATTCTAACGAGATCCTGGCCCTTCTTAGGCCATGGTGTTCGTAAGGAGGCAGAGAATTGGGGCTGAAAGGTGGTGACATGGCTCATTAGGTCGGAGCTAACTATGGGAAACGGCTTTCCCCCTGCGTTCATTCCCCTTGACGTTTCTCACCTGGTTAGCATCCCTCCAGTTCAGAGATGACTTGAAACCATGCCTCCACCCCTAGCCTGGCCCGGCTTTTAAAGTTTTTCCAAGGTAGGTGTCTGTCTACCATGAACTCTCACAAGGCGATGGCTGGAAATGTGTGTCCTTTGGGACAAAAAGTTGGTGTTGCATTGTGACCACCTTGCTTATTCCTCTTTCTGTTCTACCAGCAGCCCACCCCCTCCCTTCACACTCATGCATTACAAATGATGTGATGAGTTGTAGGCCCACACTCAGTTGGGCCTCTCAGCACCAAGGTTTCATGTTTTCCTGGTTGGTTGGTCTCTTATGTACTTGGTATCTCAAGCCTGTGTGCTGACCACTGTCCGTGGGAAGAGAAAATAGCTTTGCTGTCAAGCCCATGTGAGAATTCCAAGTCTGAGTAGTAGAAGCATTGGTGCATGAGTTCCAGGCTAATTGATGAAACTTTCAAACTTAGGCATTGAGGTTTCCCCCCTGCATTTCTGAAGGGTGGACTGCTCTCTGTCATCCAGTATATTGGTTTAGAAAGCTGTCACCTTTTGTGCCAATGAAATGAGACTTCCCTTGTGGTAACTGCCACTGTGGTTTGTGCTGCTGAATGAATTCTTAGAAAGGTTGGAATTGGTTTTGGTGCAGCTCATGTGATGGATTCTTGAGACACACTGGCAGCCACAACCCAAGGCTGAAGAACAGGGACACATAGATTGAGAACTTTGTGCACCAGAATCACGTGGGGAGCTTTGAGAAAAGGAAGATCAGTATGTCTGAGAGCCCAAGAATTTGATATTTAAAAAGCTCCCCAGTTGATCCTGAAGTATGACCTGGACTGGGAACCACTCATCCATGGACTTCTCTTTTCAAGGGAACTTGGGTCCTCCAAAAGGAAAGTGTGGGGTTACTTTGACGTTGCTGCCCTCCCTGAACAGCTGAGCCAGGGGCTTGTTTTGGGTATCAAACCAAACCAAAGTCCCTAAAGAAATCAGTAGGTTGATGCGTGTTACCCCTTCAGGGAGACCTGTTTCTGCATTTGCCTCCAATGAACTCATGCTCAGGTCTTAAAAAGTGTGTGGCTGCTGAAACAGCTCTTTTGTAGTAGTCTCTGCATTTGATGCTCCACTTAACCAGTATAGATGAAATTTTCATCATATGGGGGGAAGGCAGGATTGAAGCTGTGGGCAATGACATAGGACAGATTGCTAATTTTCTTGTGATTTGTCTTGCCTTTGTTCCATATTGACCAGGCCTTGGTCTAAGATTCCAGAGACGCTAGATATGAGGTGTGGCGTGAAATTAGCTGCTCTGTCTAATAGATTAGGAAGAGGAAAAGGCATATAACATTATACGGTTTTTGCCTTTGGAAGCAGAATTTAATGGTCATTGGCTGCTCTGTCACCAAACCTCACACTAAGCACAATACAGATTTCTGCTGCAGAGCAAATTGGGCTGTAGATCTGCAAAGCTTAGTTCAGGGCACTGGAGAATTACATTTTTTGGTCCAAGGGCTTTTTCTGATGAATTGGAGAAGAGCTAGGTATCTGTGTACGAACGTTCGGTTGACTGCTGTTAGGAGGCAGGTTGTTGGACAGAGAATGTGAACACCTAGACTCCATGTAGAACTCCAGCATCAGCTGTGGGATGCTGGCCAGTTTTGCTTTCTTCATGCTTCTCTCTCTTTATTCTTTAGTAACAAGGTCCCTATCCTGACCTTGTAGGAATAGAGTGAAGACAAGAGAAGTGGAGATGGAATATTTTGTGCTTTTGGAGAAGTAATAAAGATTGAACTGGTGATTTTTTTTTTTAATGCTAGATTTGCTTGTTAGCTGTTACACAGCTTACTATGTGCCAGTCTTGCTGGCAGCCTCGCAGCTGTGAGAAACTTGGTAAGTCTGGCCAGGGTAGTTGTGATTTCTATGGATCTGCACCTCCTAAGGAAGGAAGAATGCGTTTGGATATTTAGCTTGTTCTCTTGTTTTGATTGGTAGGACCTGGAAGCTGTGAGAAATCTCAGTCTCTTGCCAGAAGGTATATGCCTTCTGCCTTAATGATGGTTGGAATCTCTATAGTCTTTGCTGTATAATTTGGGGCTTTTACAGTAACCTCTGGACATGATTCTCTTTGCTCTGCTTAATATCTACCTTTCCCACAGTTACCACTAGAAAATACTTCCTACAATCATTTTATAAGGCTAACAGTTTCCATAGTTTAACATTAAGAAACACTTTAGTTCCTTTCTGATGTTTTAGAGTGTGCTAAGTGGACCTGCCTGGTTATTTTGAGTCTTCAATCTAGTATGAGTTAGCTTAGAGAACTCTGAAGTGAAGGATGAAATGGGCCCACCAACTAACCAGGTTTCTGTTGTGGAGACTGGGCTAAGCCTTTAACACATATGTTGAATTTACAGAGCTGGGCTTGATGCCTGAGGGCTTCAGTGTAATATAGAATTGCTATTTCAGGAAAACCAGAGAAGTTCCCTTTTCTGTTTCACATATGTTGAGCTGATTGTCTTCCTTTATATTTGGTGAAAAATGGTATTTGATCTGACTTTTTAAAAAAAATGATCATAATACACACTTGGTTGTAAAGTTTCATTAAGTTTTTTTTTTTTCTGAGTTAATGGCTAAGGCTATTACTATCGATCTTCATAGTTGTGAAGTGGAAAAATGGAGAACAGTTCTGTAGTCGTTTTCTATTTGCTTTCGGGGGGAAGATACAATTCTGGAAAGAGAGGCAGGCTGCCTTGGCATCAGTTTGGGACCCTGCTGCTGTGGACAGAATTGGCAGACATGAGAAATCCTTTTCTCTGTTTCCTTGGGTCTTCAGGTCCAAGGGGGTAGTTTTAAGAAATAGCATGACATAGTGAGAGCAAAATGATTGTATGGTGTGATGAGGAAGTTCTGACTCTACGTTTGCGTTTTTGGCCCATACTCTATTGATCTTTTTAACTATTTTTCACAAAGTGGTTGTGGTTGTGGTTGGCAGCTCTTGTTTAGAACGAGCAGCCTGGCTTCAGAAATCTCTGTCCATTTGAGTCTTGTATCTTTCACTCTTTAATATTTATTTCCCCTGCTAACATCATTCCTAAGGTTTTAGACCTTGCACTATACCTTTTGGCTTTTCCCTGGAAGTTCCCTCCATAGGTTCTTTAGTTGGTTTATGATGGAGTTTTGGATCTGACCTTGCTGCACAGATGTCTGTGTATTGGAACTAAAAATGAACACATGGTTTTTGTGCCTGTAGCACATGAACAGACACTGGCTTATGACGTGTTGAAAATGGCACAGGCTGGCTGACTTGGCACTGTGTGCTTTAGCAGGGGCAGAGGTAACTTGCGGCTGTAAAGCCTGATATTTGGACATTCTTGTTTGGAAGTTACTGTAGAAAAGAACATGTGTAAGTCATAAGGCATCAGTAGAGGAGATTAATGGACAAAGAAGGGAAGGCATTGCTATTTCATTGTTTATATTTTAGGTTTCAAGGAATTTGAAAAGTGGCCAGTGGTTATATCAGTGTGTTGTCGGCCTGTCTAGTCTAATTCTTTTAACTCCTTTTATCCCACAGATCTATTGCCATACAATTAGCAATTTTCAGAGTGGAGAAGGACAGAGGCCTTCTGTCTCTTAGTTACCTGCAGCACAGGCAGTGCTTAGCTGTCACAAAGGACAACTTAGCCTCAAAGAAGACCTTTGCCTAAGGTCTCTTGCCACCCACCTGAGGCATAGCCCACCAAATCCTACCACCCCCCACCCCCAAGTCTTTCTGCTACTAAGATGCACATCGCCCACTAGCAAAGTTAACAATGGCTTAACTTTGCACCCTAATGCTCGTCAAGGTGATCTGGGGAGAAATAAAATAACATGGGAATGGGTTATAGAAAGGTTAGTTAAAAATGTTATCCCTATCATTCATGTTTTAAAAAAAAACAAAAACAGCACATCCAGCTTTTATCATTTTAAATGTTTCATATATGCAAAAGGAGGTGTGTGTGTGCACTATAATAATAAATGCATACCTAGGTACTCATCTTTAAGCTTAGCAGATAGAATGTTATCAGTTACCTTTGAAGACCCCTGTGTGTTGTTTCCTGATTATATCTCCACAGCTACTGTAACCACCGTCCTCAATTTTATGTTAATCATTCCCTTGCTTTGTTTTTTTAATTCTCATCTAGATTGGTCTTTTCATGAGTGACTGCCATTAGAATGCTCCCAGGATCCTTGAGACAGAAACTGCTTTGGATTTTCAGTTAGTGTCTCCCCGAAGAGAGAAAGAAACACTTATTATTAGCCTTTCAGCATCTTAGACCTACCTCTCCAAGCTTCCAGCTCTGAGGCCCCCTTATTTGCCAGGAAAAAAACCCATCCCAGGGCTCTTAAATGACTGTGCCTGGGTTTAGATTCATATGTATTTCTTTTTCCAGATCCTAGAAACTATGATTTCCTTCAAAATGCTGGGGGCGGGGGAGGAGATGAGGTGGAGTGAGAAGGCCTCCGCAAGCTGTGTGCATTTGGGTACTGCCGTTCTTCAGTACTTGGCACTGAAGAGATTCGTCCCCAGCATGGGCAGATGGCAGAGTAATGCAGCTTCCTTTGAAAAGAGGCAAACAGCCAAGTGGCTGAGGTGTGAACCCTTTGAAAGACCAGTGCTTTAGGTTTCTCCTTGCTGAGTTTAATGTTGTACCCATAGTTATCAAATAAAAATCAGTTTGGAAGCTCTTCAGTCTTAAAGTTCATGTCCAGTGGAATTAACTTTCTATTTCAGCCCTCTGGAGTGTTGGAACTAAGCTGCAGACTGTCATGAGCAACTTTTATAAACAGGGACCATGCATCATGCTTGTGTCTTGCATGATGCAGCCATTTCTCCCATGGGTGCCATGGATGGGGCATTTACTAGTATGATGGGCACCATCATTAGACTTCTTGTGTCTCAGCATGGACGGAGGTTGCAGAGGGAGTTCGGGAGCGGAAATCTAGCTTCTGGGCTATTTTTGAGTAAGATCTTTACAGTATGGTTTTGAAATTTTGTTTGAAGTGAGTTCTGAGAATCTCAGATATCTATGCTAAAACATAAATGCATAAAGATCTAAAGTAAAATAATTTTAAATATGATTTTCTTTGCTTCACCTCTCCTCCTGCATCGGTGCAGTTGAAGTTTCATTTAGTCCTTTGGGTGAGAATAATTTTGGAAGGTGAGCCAGCTACAAGGCCCAGAGTCAGGCCCTCAAATCAGTGGTGGGAGGTTTTTGTTTGTTTGTTTTATAATTCTTTATTGTTGAAAGTATTACATATGTCCCCCTTTTTCCCCATTGACCCCCTCTAGCCCATTTCCTCCCCCCGCCCCTCGCCAGACCTTCAGCACCCTGTTGTCAGTGTCCATGGGCCATGCATATATGCATACAAGGTCTTTGGTTGATTACCTCCCACCTACCCATCCTCCCCGCCTTCCCCCTGAGATTCCACACTCTGTTCCATGCTTCCATATGAGTATGAGTGCGATCATGTGATACTTGTCTTTCTCTGACTGACTTATTTCACTTAGCATGATACTCTCCAGGTCCTTCCATGCTGTCTCAAAGGGTAAGATATTCTTTTTTACTGATGCATAGTATTCCATGGTATAAATGTACCACAGCTTTTTTATCCACTCATCTGCTGATGGGCACTTGGGCTTTTTCCAAATATTAGCTATTGTAAATTGTGCTGCTGTAAACATAGGGGTGCATACATTCTTTCTGATTGGTGCTTTGGGTTTCTTAGGATATATTCCTAGAAGTGGGATTGCTAGGTCAAATGGCAGTTCCATATTTAATTTTTTGAGGAAACTCCATACTGTTTTCCATAATGGTCGCACCAGTCTGCGTTCCTACCAGCAGTGGTTTCCTTTTCTCCACATCCTTGCCAGCACTTGTCATTTGTTGATGGTAGCCATTCTGACAGGTGTGAGGTGATACCTCATTGTTGTTTTAATTTGCATCTCTCTGATGATCAGTGATTTTGAACATTTTTTCATATGTCTCTTGGCCACCTGTATGTCCTCTTTGGAGAAGTATCTATTTAGGTCCTTTGCCCATTTTTTTTTGGTCCCCGTTTTTTAATTGCATTGTTTGTCTTCCTTTTGTTAAGTTGTATGAGTTTCTTATATATTTTGGATATTAACCCTTTATCAGATGTATCATTGCCAAATATGTTCTCCCATACAGTGGGCTCAGTGGTGGGAGTTTTTTAAAAGTCTGGTTTATTGAGGTAGGACTTACATACCACCTAAAATTCACCATTTTTATGTGTCCAGTTCTATTAACACTTTAAGCGTCCAGCCTGTTTTGTCTTCTGGACAGAAAGTATAGTGTCAGTCACCGGTGACTGACTGGGCGCTTAACATGTTAATTTTGATAAAAGTATATAGTCATCATGACCTCTGTCACAATCAAGATATAGCATATTTTCATCGCCTCCACAAGTCTTTCCCTAGTGGTCGTCAGTTCAGTCATCCTGAGGTGATTTTTTAAATAATGTGCATTGTTTTATTTATAAAATTTATCTTTATTGTTGAAAGTATTAAACTTAGCACATTTCTAGCCAGAAAGTCTATCCTTTCACAGGAGATCTGGGTTTTTCCAGCTCGCTCCCTGGAGCAGCATCAAGGGGAAACCACAAGGAGAATGTGTGACTGGCAGTTCAGAGAGGAGAAGGGGCCATCTGGTTTGGGTGCCAGGCAGAGCCCCTAACCTAAGGAAGCCCCCCTGTTAGTTGATGGCTTTAACCCATGGCTTGGAGACATTGGTGCATGTTTTTCGTGGTTGAAGATTACATGTGCATCCTGTAGTGCTGGTCTCAAACCCAAACATGTTCTCTGGTTCACCTTGCGACCTGCTGTCCTAGGAGGAGGCCCAGAGGGAAAGCATCTGGTCAGATCAAGAGGCTTTTTCTTGGTTCCCATATGCAAATCAACTGTGTTTCTGACTTCCTCCAGAAATAGACTTGCTAATTACCACTCAAGGTGTTTTACTCTTTCAATGTGCTGGGTGAGGAGAGATCCAAAGGGATTTCTCATGCTTTTGTAGGCTGGTGAATTCTGTAGCCAGATCTATTTAAGGAATTGCCTTAATTATTTTATTCTCCCCCTTTAAATTTTAGGCTTTATTACAAAAGTGTTGCTGATAATGACTGGGTTTGCTTTGTTTTTCAGTGCATATGGGATTGAGTATTGTAGAGATTTAACCACCCCCCAGCCCTTATTCTCTCTGTGCTTTTCACCCCCTAGGAAACCCAGGTTGACAAGAACTCAAAGTGCCTTTTCTCCGGTCTCCTTCAGCCCCCTATTCACAGGTAAGGGTGATCTCTCTCTCTCTCTCTCTTTTTTCCCTTCTGACATCTGAAAGCAGGAGTGTTCTGAGACCTGTCAGGAAACACTTACAGATGCATTGCAGAGGGAGCTTCAGGCCTCTCTGTGGTTATTTTCTTCATTCCCTGCCTGCTGGGTTTGGGGTGGGGCTATTTTTATGGTGTAGAATGTGTTCTTGACTTTGGATGCTTTATAGGTTGAGGAGTGACGGCTTGCTGGTAATTAAGTGACCCTGGCAGTTATGCCGTCCTTAGTTCAGGGTCATCACTTATAAATTAAAAGGAGGAATTACAAATTTATAGGCTCGCAGTGCATGAAGGACTCCTGAGAAATCATACAATTCCTGTCTCTGCTTCCAAGGGAGTTCATGGATTAGCTAATAAACATGACCCATGATTATCTGGTCTATTTTTAAAGACTTTGGGCAAAGGGGATTACGTGAACTCTTGACTTACCCATTTTAGGGGCTAGCAGTTCTTGCAGCTGTTAGAGTTCTTCATTGTGTCTAATTTAAGTCTATCATCTAAGAGCAAGGAACACAGTTGCTAAAGAAGGAAAGCGGTTGAATGTCCTTTGGGCAACTGCCTTTTCTTTAATGGGGAACTTTTTCAGAGGGAGCCCTTTTGTTATGTCAGTCAGATGCGAAGCTCCCGCTTGAATAAGCTGCATAAAAGAAGGTCTTCACATTGCTTCAAGTCTCAGAAACTGGGCACTCATTGATTGTGACTGAGAAGATTTTTTAAAAAATCCCAATTTCAAACTCTTTTGGTTCTGTGTCCCTCAAAAAGATGATGATTAGGGATAGACATTTCCAGAGTTAAGCAGGTTAGTGGGACCCCCACCCCCAGCCCTTACTACATAGATAGCCATGAGCTGTCAGAACAAGTGTGTTGGTACCTGTAATAGGCACAGGTGAAGAAGGAGATCTCTGTTTTTACCTCAAGCCCAGAATTAATCTTTTTACATATATATATATTTATTGATTTCAGAGAGGAAGGGAGAGGTAGATAGAAACATCAGTGATGAGAGAGAATCATTGATCGGTTGCCTCCTGCACGCCCCCTACTAGGGATGGAGCCCGAAACCCAGGCATGTGCCCTTGACCAGAATCGAACCTGGGTCCCTCCAGTCTGCAGACCGACATTCTATCCACTGAACCAAACCGGCTCCGGCCAGTACTAAAGAATCTTATCCTGTAGTAATATATCCTTCTGGTTAATAATTGTTTCCTCTCTAAAGTAAGGAACCCACATTTGAAGTGTTCTTGTTTCACACAGCTTAGCTCTTTTGAATGATGTTTTTATTGAGGGGCTACTCCTACAACCTAGACCTCTCTGACCCTTCAGGAGGCACACTTGTCTGGGTTCATTGCATTGCTCTGGGCATCTAGGCTATTGGTTACTAAGCTCTGTGATGAGTCCAGTATGTAGTACAACTTGCACTGATGACTTTTAGAAGAGCTTTTCTGTTTATCTTAATCTATGTTCAAGAACTTTGTAAAAAAACAAACAAAAAAAACCCCAAAACTGTGTATTAGGTTCTAAAAGCCCTGCTCCTGACCTTTTAGAGACATTGGTCTCTAATAATAATAAAATCTAGCTTAGGGGCTAATTGAGCCTCCTGAATAAGAAAAAGATGTTGGAAATAACACCCTCAAATTAGAGAAATCCTGAGTTCTGACCTATTTTTGGCTGTCATCCTTAGTTAATAAAATACCCTTCATCCTCTGGTGACTCAATGGAGAGAGGGTAGATGGGGCTGGGTGGCGAGGAAGAATGTATATGGCAGAGAACAGAACTATATCACATGCTGGGAAATAAAGAGAAACCACATGTCATCTCCCTAACCTCCCACCCCCAATCAACTTCCTACTGAGAAGCTTCCTCTAAGCTTACCTGACTCTTGGCTGACTGTGGAAGTAGTTAATTATTAGGGTTGTAAATGTACTTTTCAACCTTTGTAGCCTCAGTTACTAAGAACTAATTCATATCTGAAATGGGTTCTCTTATGAATGAATAGTGTGAAAACTCTAGACATGGAAAGCCGTTTAGGAAGAAGTTAGGGCTAACATTGGGACCTGTATTTGCATGCAGTGTACCATGCAGCGCTTACAGTTTTTGGCACTTGCTTTCTATGTTAACTTGGGCTTGTAACAAGCTGCTCACTTTGCTCCCTAAAGCAGAAATTAGTATGCAAGTCTGTAAAAATAAATGGTTTCCATTTGAATAAAGATGGCTTGGTCAAGGTTATATTGTCAGTGGCAGAGTCACAATGAGTTGACTTTCCCACTGTCAAGCCCATGTTTTTATCCATTGAGCCAAACCAGTTAGGGCTGTTTTTATCCTTAAAGAATCCTTGACCATTAAGATGGTAAAGAAATGATAGCATTTAAAATTGACTTCCCAGGTGTTTAGGGGGTGATTCCAGCCCTGGGAGCATTAGATTTTGAGCTTTTTGAGAGCCAGGGACCTCTAACTTCCCTTGCTTGCCCTTTGCTTTCCTTTGCTCTGGCCTCAGCTTTGGGCAAGGTGTTCTGTAACGTGCTTGCTCCATGAATCCCTCAGGTGAAACAGTATCGCTTGTGGATGTGGACATCTCTCAGCGGGGCCTGGCCTCTCCACACCCTCCAACTCCCCCTCCTCCTCCGAGAAGAAGCCTCAGCCTCCTAGGTATAGTCTCCTCCAGTCTCTACCTTCTTGCTCTAGTGGGAGGGGGAGCTCTCGGACCTGTTTTTATTTGCCAGGAGCCCTACAAGCTCCTGGGTTTCTAATGATGAACCAATTATGTCCTATCCCTTTCTCAGCACCCCTATCATCTCCCTAAGTGGTTGAATGAGTGTCTTACCTGCATGCTATTACAGCATTTATTATCCATGTGTTGATTAGATCTGCATTTATCTTGCCCTGAATCTACACCTAGTGGGCTGCTTTAAGAATATCCATACTTTCCTGCAGAGGAAACCAGATTAAGATGATTGTTGCCCTCTGTACAAAAGACGGGGTGAAGGTCAGGCCATCTTGCCCCAGAGGGCAGCCTGATGATCCTTCTCCGTCTCCTCTGCTTCGCCTTGCTCAGTCTCTGCTCATATTTCTGAACCTTTTGCTTTTGTTCTCTCTTCTAGATGATATCAGTGGGACGCTGCCTACATCTGTCCTTGTGGCTCCGATGGGGTCTTCCCTGCAGTCTTTCCCCCTACCTCCGCCTCCTCCACCCCATGCCCCAGGTTAGCTTAGTTTAGAGACGAGACTTCAAGAGTTGGGAGTACAAATGATAAACTTTTTGAAGGATGGGAGAAATCTATTTATGGAAATAACAGAACTTATGAGAAAGCTTATAGAACTCCTTAGAAATGAGGCCAAGAACTGATTTTTCTAACCTGTTTTATTTATGGAGTTGAATTCGATTTTTGTTAGAGATAAAAGACAATTGAATTTTTTTCGTCTTTTTGCTACTGAGACTTTTTTTTTAATCCTTGAGTAGACATCACTGAGGAAACTAATTTCAGGAGAGTGAGGAGGTTTAATATATTGCTGGTTTTCAAAGTTCTGTGGTTTTTCTAAGCTTTTAGTACTGACTGCAGCCTTGTAAATATGTAGCAAGCATTTAGTAGCCCATACCTGCTTTGCCAGTCTCCAGTACCCAAGGAATAAAATGAATGAAATTGGCATTTTTTTCTACTTGCCTGGCAAAATCGTTACACTTCCTGGGCAAGTAAGCGAGTCACTATTTCCAAGGCTGCTTTACCGGCACTTCACCTCGAGGTGGGAGAAGTTGGAATCACTCTAGGCTGGTGAAGGCCCTGAAGTAGTCACCTTAGTCAGGTTAGTGAGCAGCTCCCCACCCGCTTCCTGGGGTTCAGTGCCCTCACCCATCCTTCACAGCTTACACAAGCCCACACAGCTTTTTGTTCCAGCCCATCAGCTCTTTCCCACTGCTTTGGCTTTCACCCTTTCCAGCTTAGCTTCTAATGCCTTGCCCCTCTTCAGTTAGCATCTCTGTTTTGGGAGGAGGGTGTACTAGTGGTTGGGAGCATTGAGGGTAAGCGAGTGACCACCACTCTCTCACCTTACAGATGCATTTCCGCGGATTGCTCCTATCCGAGCAGCTGAATCCCTGCACAGCCAGCCCCCCCAACACCTCCAGTGTCCCCTCTACCGGCCCGACTCGAGCAGCTTTGCAGCCAGCCTTCGAGAGTTGGAGAAGGTAGGTGGCACTTGAGCACTGGAGGCTTGCCTCCTCTCCTACTCCCTAGTTCTATACCTGGCTCCCTTTGTATTATTTTTACAGGGAGAGTAATTTCCTTGTCTCTATATTTATAGTGACAAAGCAAGATACTACTGTTATCAATTCTATAAAATATATTGTAAAATTGAAACTTGGGGGTAGTGGTGGAATTGAATGTGATAAGGAAAGGCGTGGAGAAATGTTTACATAGTCTAAACCAGCCGTGGGCAAACTACGGCCCGCGGGCCGGATCCGGCCCATTTGAAATGAATAAAACTAAAAAAAAAAAAAAGACCGTACCCTTTTATGTAATGATGTTTACTCTGAATTTATATTAGTTCACACAAACACTCCATCCATGCTTTTGTTCCGGCCCTCCGGTCCAGTTTAAGAACCCATTGTGGCCCTCGAGTCAAAAAGTTTGCCCACCCCTGGTCTAAACTGATTGTGGCAGATTAACTGACTCGGGTCCCCCTTCTCTTCTTTGAAGGGCCTTGGTAATGGAATTGTAGAATGTTCCTTCTGCTACTTTGGAGGGTTAAATGTATATGGAGCCTGGTGTGTATTGCTAGTGGTTGAGATACTCCTACAGCTCTTCCCTACTGAAATGTTTTGGAAATGGGGTTCTCCTATGGTGAGATAGATTGTGCTGAACACTTTGACATTTCTCTGTTGTTAACCACTTGACTGCTTTTTATCTTTGCTAGTGTGGTTGGTATTGGGGACCAATGAATTGGGAAGATGCAGAGATGAAGCTGAAAGGGAAACCAGATGGTTCTTTCCTGGTACGAGACAGCTCTGATCCTCGTTATATCCTGAGCCTCAGTTTTCGGTCACAGGGTATCACCCACCACACTAGAATGGAGCACTACAGAGGTAAGAGCGGCTAGTGTTGGAGGGAAACCTTTCTCTGCCTTTGCTATTTGACTTTTCCATAGGAAGCATTCATAGAAATGGAGAAAGAATCTCATAGAGTCAATTGAATGCTGATATGGGCACTGGTCTCAGTCACTAGAAGAAAAGTTGGCAGGGGTAGGGATGAGAGTAAGGGTTCCATTTAAAAGTATTCTCAGCATCTTGTTTCCTAAAATAGGAGGGCCTAAACAAGACTATATATATATAAGCTGAGGTGGGGAGGCTTTGGATCGTGGGCGAGGGCAGGACAATCAGTTGAGAAACTCAAATATATATATACTTTATTGATTTTTTACAGAGAGGAAGGGAGAGGGATAGAGAGTTAGAAACATCAGTGAGAGAGAAACATCAATCAGTTGCCTCCTGCACACCCCCTACTGGTGATGTGCCCGCAACCAAGGTACATGCCCTTGACTGGTGCCTGGGACCTTTCAGTCCGCAGGCCACTGCTCTATCCCCTGAGCCAAACCGGTTAGGGCTAAACAAGACTATTGAAGAACAGAACAAAGCCAGTAAAACTCTCTTGGTAGGAAAAAGAAATAACCTAGACAAATTCTCCCAAACTTTGTTCATAATTAAACTTAACATTAGAGATGCTTTCTATTAAATCATATGGGCAGAGAGGAGAATTTAGTGTTGATACTGGACTGTTCTGTTCTGAATTTCTTTGCCGGATAGTCACATCAGCTCTTATGCCAGTCAGCATGGTGATGAAAATTCTCTTGGTCAACTTTGTAGTCTCTTAGGAAATAGTCATCAGAACTCCAAGAGTTTGTGAAATCAACGTGCTTTATAGACTGTCTACCTGCTTCCCAGGTGGTACCCCTTTCTGTGTGGTCATGTTGTGCTTAATGTTGCCGTCATGTCTAGAAGATGACTAGTTCAACACCACTGTCTGGATTAACTTTGCAGCAGGGCACTCTGTACTTAACTTGGGCCAGAAACTTGTGACAGTCATTGGTGGTAGGACTGGATAATATATCATTTGTTGAAATATCTGCATATGTTATAAATTTTAAAAGTATAGAGAACTTTGGGGAGTTTTAGGGACTCCCATCTCTCACACTCTTCCCATGTGTGACCCCCTTAAATGAGCTGTATTAGACATCCATCTCAAACGAGTTTCTTTCATGCTCTTCTGAGGCACCACCATGTCTTTCCTGCCCTCAGCCATGTTCTGCTGGATTTATTTGGTTTGCTTCTCTTGTGAGGCAGGAAGTAGCTGTTTAGGTCAGTATGGTTTCCTCTGCCTCTACCTTTGTCTTAGAGATGCATGAAGAGAAAGGAACCTCAGTCCAAAGACCTGAGCATTCATTAGTTAGATCACTGTGGGATAGACTGCTGCCTATTTTCCTACTGTTCCTAAAAGCAAAAATCAGACAAACAAATGCAAAACAAAGCATTTCAGAGTGAAGTATTTTTATAAACCTATTTTAAAATAAATGACTGGGCCATGGGAATAAATGTTTGACCTCTAGGTTCCTGATAGGTGAGATGCCAGGAATGAGAGAGCTCTTTCAAATGGTTCTCCAGTTACTTTTTATTGAAAGGGACTTTTCTTTCTTGAATAAATGGAATTTTTAATAGAAGCCTTGTGGGCCTTTTAGTTGCCAGTTTGCAATAGAGCATTTGTCTTCGTCTTTTTAAGTGATACTGTAAGAGTAGCTAGAGAGACTCAGATCTGCAGTTTTCTTGAGTGATTTAGTATCCCCTTTGTGGGTGATTCTTTTGGATTTAGAGCTTTAGTTTTTTGTGTTTTGTTTTGTTTGAAGTCCTGGAAATTCAGATTCCCTTTTACCTTTGGGATCTTGAAGTTTGGGGTGGGATCTTTGTAACATGTTGGGGCATAGAATTTTAGAAGTTAAAGGAAAGACTTAGAATTTGATTTTTTTGTGCCAACACATACATGAATGGGTAATACTCACAAAACCTCTCTTCTTTTCTTTCTTCAACTGTCCCATGAATGCTTGAAAACTTGGATCTTTTTGAGGGGAATGTCATTTAAACTCGCTTTTGCTATGGCAGTCTTTTTCCCTCCCAATTATAGTTGAATTCAATATTAGTTTCAGGTATACAGCATAGTGACTGCACATTTATATAACTTACAAAATGATCCCCCTGGTAAGTTTAGTACCTACCTGACACCATACATAGTCTTACCATAGACTATGTACATATCTACACTAATAAAAGAGAAACATGGTAATTGGCGTACGACCGCTACCCTTCCCATTGGCTAATCAGGGAGATATGCAAATTAACTAACAGCCAAGATGGCGGCCGGCAGCCAGGCAGCTTGAAACTAACATGAGGCTTGCTTCCTTCAGTGA